AGAGAAGTTGTAGAGCTGGAGGTGGCAGCAGCAAGTGTTTTGCATGCTGTTTATTGGAGCCATTACAATCTGGGCCGACATGTAAACATGCATCTTCATTAGTATGAAATTATGAAAATGCAGTAAGGTGTCAGAACTAGGACTGACAACAACCCTTCCCCATTCAAAATAAACCACCTACTTGACAGCTGAAAAGTGCCAGTGTAATGTACATGCTGTCATTCCAGCTTGCATCAGGTAGTTTATTTCAGGAGCTGTATCTTTTGGTGTGTCTAGATTCAAGTGCTACATAATGTACTAGTTTTATCTATTCTGCTTTCAAGGATTAAGATCTGCTTAACTTTCCACCATCTGCAGGCACTGTTATTTTAATTTATATTTTAGAAAATGCTCATTTTAAATGTTTAGCGTTCAACTCTAATTAGAGAGGCATCAAGAATACATCAGCCCTTAGAGGTACAGAGAAGGATCACTGGACAGATTTTGAAAGTTGGAAATCTGAGGGTCAAGGAAGCATAATTTTAAGTTGGGTCATGACCATAGACCAGAGAATGCAAACTGGTAAAAGCTAAGCCTACAAATAATATTGAGTCAAAAAAATTTTTGACGGTGTGATGTGTTCCTGGAATGGCCAGCATTCCAAATTGCTCTTGGAATTGGCTTGTGAAAGGGTAGTGAAGGCAAGCTATGCTGATGGCTTCTTTGATTGGAGTAGGAGAGGGGGAAGAAATCTGTTTCTCTATTTTATAAGTTTATGATTTCAGTGTATATGAATTTTTTGTCTGTGTTGAATTCCATGTCTCCAGTGTCAAGTCTGTATCTATTCCAAACCAGCCACTACAACATAGCGAATTACCCTTCCCACACTTGTGTAATGGAATGCAGTAGGATAGAAATCATGTCAGTGAGTTGGTGGATAATAGGAAGCTCAGGCATTCCTTCATGTCTGGCTATTAACTCTCAAACAGGCTGCAGTATGTGGCAACATTAAAAGGCTTAATGTAATTCATAAATCTCCAAGTGTTTGTGTTTATTTCCAGAATTGTTGATAGGAGAGAATCCCTGAGGTTTTGGAGTAGATTTGTAGCTCGGATTGTGGATGTTGTAGTTGGTTGGCTTGCTGAGCTGGTTCGTTGTTTCGCAGACATTTCATTACCACCAATTCAACTGGGACAAGCAAAGCACAGGAATTCCTAGAAGCATGGTACTCCACGAAGAAAGCCATCAACAATCACATAGAGCTTGACCTCATATACACTCCACTGCGAAGGAAAACCGGAAATGAGGTGAACCAGTTCAACGGACTCCAGAGTTTAAATAACAGGCGGGAAAACACAACGGCAGGGGTCTAGGCCCGAAACGTCAGCCTTCCTGCTCCTATGATGCTGCTTGGCCTGCTGTGTTCATCCAGCTGTACACCTTGTTATCTCAGATTCTCCAGCATCTGCAGTTCCTACTATCTCTGGCACTTCATCGGAGGCTGCACTGATGATGATATCCAGCAGGGTAATGAAACGTCTGCGAAACAATGAACCAGCTCAGCAAGCCAACCAACTACAACAGGAGAGAATCCCTTTTGCAACTTATGCACAAACTACAATAGGTGACTCCATACTCGAATGATGGAAGAGCTTTATCACTTGAAGCTTATTGTAAGAGCTCAGGTGTTATTTTTGGAGAGCACAATCTACTTGTGTTTTTCAAACTTACCTTTTGAAAGTAGCTGATAGATTTTTAAATGTTCGTTTTTGCCTTGCGCCCACTTCTGCTGAATAGCCTGTTTCCAAACTGTAACAACTCTGCAATTCATTTCAATAGCAGTTAGCTTTGGGTTGCTAAATGGTAGGATTATTTGCTTTTTTGGTGAGCGACAAAACAGACATAGGGAATAAAGTGAGGCTTTACAGATTAATGATAATTCCCCCCTCCACTGCCCTCCATTGTGTCAAGCGGTATTTTCGTTGGATTGGGCAGCTCAGTGGTTAGCACTGCTGCCTCGCAGCATCAGGGACCCAGGTTTGATTCCAACCTCAGGTGACTGACTGTGGAGTTTTCACATTCTCCCCGTGTCTGCATGGGTTTCCGCTGAGGTGCTCCGGTTTCCTCCCATTGTCCAAAGATGTGCAGGTTAGGTTGATTGGCCATGCTAAATTGCCCATAGTGTCCAGGGATGTGTAGGTTAGGTGCATTAGCCACGGGAAATGCAGGGTTACAAGGATAGGATAGGGAAACAGTTCTGGGAGGGATGCTCTTTGGAGGGTCAGTGTGGACTTGTTGGGCCAAAGGGCCTGTTTCCATGCTGTGGGGTTCTGTGAATCTATGATTAGATTCTTAATTCCGGATATCTTATTGAATTCAAATTCCACCATCTGCCATGGCGGCATTTGAACCCAGGTCCCCAGAATGTTGTCTGGATCTCTTGGTTAACAATCCAGTGATAATACCACTAGGCCATTGCCTCCCCAGTGGGGGAGATGGGGGAAGGAGGAGAAGAGAGGTTTAGGGAGGGAATTCTAGAGCTCAGACTTCAGCTGTTAAAGACTGTGCTGCTCATGGTGGAGCAGTAAAAATCAAAACATCAGAGACTTACAATAGAGATAGTAGGAACTGCAGATGCTGGAGAATCCGAGACAACAAGGTGCAGGGCTGGGTGAACACAGCAGGCCAAGCAGCTGATGAAGGGTCTAGGCCCGAAACGTCAGCCTCTCTGCTCCTATGATGCTGCTTGGCCTGCTGTGTTCACCCAGCCCTGCACCTTGTTGTCTCAGAGACTTACAATATGCCACTTAGTAGTGAACCAATGCATCATGAACATCCCAGATTCGAGATTAGATCTGTCTTGAACAGTATTTGATGGCTGCATGTGGATTTAATGTTGAGTGAGTATGTTCATCAATAGTTCATGCTGAGAGTCATTTCCATTGCTGTAAAATGGTTACTTGACACAATCGTGATGTTCTTTTAAATTAGAATAGCAAATTGATACTCTTTGCCCAGACTGAAGTGGGGAGTGGCCACCTTGGTCTCTTCGGCATTGTAACCAAGCATGTGTCAACTTGTAAACACTCCAGATTGGAATAGAACCTATTTATGCCATTGTATGTGATTTTATGGTGTTGATCCAGCGCAGACCATTTTTTTTACATTGCTGACTAAGATTGAAATCTGCATTTTGCTTTTTTTAAAAAAAAGTGCATGGAAGGGTGCGAATTCATTTTGAGATGCTGTACTCCAGTGCTTTTAAAGTTTTTGAATTTGCTAATGTCAGCAACTCTGATCATTAACAAGAGAATTCAAGCATTAGACTTTGGTAACTCCCATACACAACATGTTTCACCTCCCTCAGTGTAATGCTCCCTCCTTCCCCTTAGGTTATTGTATTCAAGTCAATGGGTGTAATTTGAGCAGCTGACGTCCTGGTTATATACTTGCCCTTCAGAAAACTGAGCTGTATTTCAACTGAGGATATAATTAGCATTGCTGTTAACTCTCCCTGTGAATATAGAGAAATATACCCAATAGGAAAGCCTTTTCTGAGGCACGTATGCTGCCACCCTTGCTACCCACTGTTTTCCTCTAAAGATGCCACTTTTCTCAGTATCTTCAGGAATTAATCCCACAGTACTCCTGCAACAAGCCAGTGATAGTCTAACAAGGTTGGGAACCAGCAGTAAAAATGTGTGCAATGATAGGGAGTAAGTCATATGATCCCTCTAATATGTTGCATGGCTGGGATCTTTGATCTCAGCTGCATTTTACTGCCCTAGCCACATTTCAGCTTAATCTTATATGTTTAAAAAAAACTTAATTCAAGCCAATAAATTACCAATATTAAGAGTAACTATTAATTTATTCATTAATGTTTAAAAATATGCATGGAGATTTTGGTTGATACTTAGCCTCTTCCATTATTAGGTTAAATCATAGTTGATCTTAATTTAAATTCATCTGATGCCTTGCCTAATGAAAAGCTAAAGCTCTGTTTTGCTTTGTTTACCCCGCCCTCCACCCCTGCAAAAACTCGAGAGTGTTCTAGACTTTCACATTTCTTGAATTAAGCTGAGCTTCCTGATCTCACCCCTGAATGACCTGGCTCTAATTGTCAATGTTCATAGAATCCCTACAGTGTGGAAGCAGGCCTTTGACCCATCAAGCCCACACTGACCCTCCGAAGAGCATCCCACCCAGACGCACCCACTGCCCTATCCATGCATTTCCCACCGTAGACACTATGGGCAATTTAGCATGGCCAATCCACCTGACCTGCACATCTTTGAGCTGTGGGAGGAAACACACGCAAGCACGGAGAATGTGCACACTCCCAAGGCTGGAATTGAGCCTGGGTCTCTGGTGCTGTGAGGCAGCAGTGCTAACCACTCTGCCAATGTGCCGCTGGACTTTTTCAATAAAGGAAATATTTCTACTACTACTGCCCTTCCTTAATCATCACAAAGGTATGTAAAATGAATGTTGAGTGTTGGTTGGGAATGGTGCAGTGGTGGTTCATTTACTCAACAAGCAGTCCAGAGGTGTCTCATTCTTGAGCTATGAGCTCAAATCCTACCATGACAGCTGAGGATAGTAATGATGGCCAGGTAGCTACTGAAGTTTTGTAAAAACATTATTTATTCCTGGGGTGTGGGTGTCACTGGCTAGATCAGCATTTATTGTGTATCCCAAATTGCCTTAGTGGAGATTGTGGTGAGCTGCTTTCTTGAAGCATTGCAGCCCATGTGATATAGGGACACTAGCAGTGCTGTTAGGAATAGAATTCCAGAATTTTGACCCAGTGTCAGTGAAGGAACAGTGATTTAGTTCCATAACCTAATTCACAAATGTATTTAACATGTTACAAAGTATTACTGTGCTGTTGCTCAGTTTTTTTTTGCAATAACAATGCGTTTTGTTTGTCTGTGTATTCTAAAGGCTGAGCTTTCCAGGCTGACTGTCTCCTGTGTTTTAATCTGTATGAGTAATCCTAACTGCGTGTCTCTCCACAGATCACACACGATGTAATGTATGGATTCTAGATGGTGAGCTGTATCACAAAGGCCTTCTTAAGTTTGCGGTTTCTGCGGACAACTTGAAGAACACATTGGCGGTCTTTGTGGCAGACATGGCCAGGCCTTGGACTGTCATGGATTCTTTGCAGAAATGGGCCAGTGTCTTGCAAGAGCATATCGACAAACTGAAAATCCCACCTGAAGAAATGAGGGAACTGGAACAGAAATGTGAGTATGGTATTGCTTTTTTTTTATTGGTGTGGAATAGTTAAAAGTTTAGTTCAATTAGTTTCCCTGTTTTGAATTGGGATGCATTGGAGAAAATGTTGCCATGCTGCTTTCTAGCTCAGGTGCTGTATTTTGCAAGAACAGTGTTCAAGGCTAATCGCCTCTAGTGTTGATTTGGAGCTGTTCTTTCTATTAATGACTTTGTGACTACTGCTTGTAATGTGGTCCAGCTTCTGATGATGTGATCTCAGCTGCACTGATTGGTTTTGTTAACCTGGGTAGATTGGGTTACTTCTGAAATTCTGAAACGTAATCTCCAGAAAGGTCAAAGGGTTTTTTGCTTCGTTGGATTAAGTTTCTGATTTTGATTTGAGAGAGATAGCATGATAGCTAAAATAACAAACAAAGATAACAGCTGGAAATGTTCTGAAGGTTCTTGACTTGATATCATCCTGTCTAATTTTGACATCTTGCAGAGAAAGAGAGCCACAGTACATCAGGAAATACTGGTATCCACTGCTCTACCTCCTGCCTAATCTCCCAGAAGATCATAAGAACCAGGTGCCGGAGTAGGCCATGGCCCTTCGAACCCACTCCGCCATTCAGCAAGATCATGGCTGATTTTTTTTTTGTGGCCTCAGCTCCACTTACCTACCATCTCACCATAACCCTTAATTCCTTTACTGTTCAAAAAATTATCTATCTTAACTTTAAAAACATTCAATGAGGTAGCTTCAACTACTTCACTGGGCAGGGAATTCCACAGATTCACAACCCTTTGCGTGAAGAAGTTCCTCCTCAATTCAGTCCTACATCTGCTCCCCCTAATTTTTGAGGCTTTATTCTAATTTCGGCCAACAGTGGAAACATCCTCTCTGGTTCTGTCTTCTCTATTCCCTTCAAAATTTTATAAGTTTCTACAAGATCCCCCCCCCCCACCATTCTTATTCTTCTCTTTGTGTATTAGATCAAATGCACTGAACTTTGCAAATGGATGATTTTATGTTCTTCAAAGATGGAATTGTTTTCAATTTTACAATGTTCTATTACTTGTTTAATGGTGTTGCTGGAGCTTAAGCTTCATTGCCACGAGGGCATGGGTCAGCCTGGTACTTACGGTAGTGGGCCAATGCAGGGGTTGAAATCCTGCCGTGGCAAGTTGCGGAATTAAATTCCGGAGGAGTTTGTGGGCTCACGTCCCCAAGAGATACAAATAAAGCAATCTTGTCTCAAATATCTATGGAAACCTACAGTAGACCCTGCTTCTGGCGTTGAGGTCAGAATATGCTGAAGACCAGGCCTAAAGTTCCTTAAGCCTGTGTGACTCTGTTACAGCTCCTCACAGTAAACTTTATTAACTTTGGATTTTGGGAGCTGGTTGATACTGAGTGCTTTTTGGCTTCTGGAATCTGGGCCCAAAACCGAACCAAAGCAAATGTCACCTTTTGTTGGCTGGTTGCAAAAGCTCTGCATTCTTCTTATAGGGAGCATAATTGTGTTACAGAAATAAACTGAGTGTTTTTCCAACTTTACTGGCTTCACCCCTGTATATAATGGTTCCACACTTCAACTGATAACATCATAGCATGATAACAATGTGGCTGTGTGCATATTTATCAACTTGGGGAATGGCCTCATGGGAATAGATGTTTATTCTCCAGCTTTCCACTCAGTGACTGATTTCCCTAGATCTGAAATCAGAAATACTTTGGTTTCCTGCCTGAAAAATCCCTGGCTTTAATAAAACAGTTAGAATCATTGAACCCCCTACAGTGTGGAAACAGGCTATGTGGCCCATTGAGTCTACAAACGCCCCTCTGAAGAGCATCCCACCCAGACCTATCACTACTGTATCCCTGTAAGCTAGCATTTCCAATGGCTAACCCACCTAGCCTGGACACTATGGGCAATTTACCATGACCAGTCCACCTGACCTGCGCATCTTTGGACTGTGGGAATAAACTGGAGTACCTGGAGGAAACCCACACAGACATTGAGAGAATGTGCAAACAGTCGCCCGAGGCTTGGAATCAAACTGGGTCCCTGTGTCACCGTGCTGCCCATTTTCAAAGGTTACAGAGGCATTTGCAAAAAGTGACTCTTGTGCTGACCATGTTGCTTTGACAGCTGACTGAAATAAATAGACTGTATGAATTAAAGATGCAGCTTAATTTCAATTCCACACAATACTGTTCTAAAGGGAACCTCTTTAGCCATGCTGTCAGTCTGTATGTTTCTGGCTACTTTTGCACTATCATATCCCAAGATAACCAAAGGCTCCAAGGTTTTTTTGGCTCAGTGATAGTGTCCCTACCTCAGTACAGATTGATCAAAATACCTAACCCAAGGCTCCTTCCTATTGGCATTTGAAAATTTATAAGATGTAGTGTTTTTTTGAAACAGGTCTTGGTAATGTCTGGACGTTATAGGTATTCACTTGAACCTTGTTGAACGAACCACTGTGTTGTAAATTAGTGGCCACTTTATTTTGGCGATGAGTTATTTTTGTCCAGATGTAGCATATAACAAATCCAATTATAAATGATTGTTAAAACCAACTCTGTAATTAATTTTGTTTTTTTTTTACGGAACCCAACATCTCCACTCATTCTCTGTTTGTTTATATCGTGTATGTGGCCATCTGGGCTATATTACCTTCTCTGAACAAGACATTGACAACAGACAGAATGACTTATACCATGACTTGCTTGTGTCTGTGTTCAGATATTTTAGAATTTGGTTCATTTGTGGCTAGAATCTGACTGAAATTTAGGCAAATGATAACAAACAACAAGTTCTTGCTGAATTGTACAGATCTGTCATAGATTCACAGCTCTTACAGCATGGAAAGAGGCTCTTCAGCTCACTGTGCCCATGCCAACTATCAAACATCTATATTTTTTAATCCCACTTCCTGACACTTGGCCCAGAGCCTTGTATGCATTAAAAACTGAAAGAACTGCAGATGCTGTAAATCAGGACCAAAAACAGAAGTAGCTGGAAAAGCTCAGCAGGTCTGACAGCATCTGTGGAGAAAAAAATCAGTTAGTTTCAGGTCCGTTGACCCTTCCTCAGAACTGGTGTTTCAAGTGTTGGTCTAAATTGTTCTTAAATGCTGTTGTTTGTTTAAAGTTAGCGTTGGAGGAATTTTGCTTGTGGCTACATCATCATTCTTTTATCAGTGAATAGCCTTTACAAAAGATGTGAAGGTCATTTTATTCATGACCCATGTGTTCCCAGGCTAGTGACATCCAATAGAAATTGATGACTAGCCACAGATGTGGTTCCAGTGAATCTGTTTCAGCCACGTGAGCTCATTTAACAAAAAAGCACCTGACTGCAATTCAGGTAAATTCACATCACATGTATATTTACTTAAAAATCAACCATTTATCAGTAATCAAGGAAATAAAACAAAAACATTTCAGATTCTTGTTTGCATCTTACCATTTGACAAAGTAACACCGAAGAAGTTTCAAGTTCACAGACCTTTGACCTTTTGAGTAATGAGAACATTCTTTTACTACTTGCAATTCTGATTAAGTAGAAAAATGTGATTAACCATACCTAGATTCCATGTGACAAATGACTATATTAGACAATGTGATCCTAAGTCATATACCTTCTGTGTTTTGAATATATGGGAGAGCAATACAGTACGATAGGTCTCTGAATGTGCTCTGTCTGGTACATGGTATCAGCCCATTAATCACCCCCACTTCCTTGATTTTCCTGAGTCAAAATGACAACACGGGATGCACTTCAAAGGACTTAATTAGTTTAGAATGCTAGGAGATATCGTGATAATCACTATAAATGCAAGGCATTCTTTTCTTTTTGTCTCTTCCCATTTATTCACCTTGAAACAGTTGAGGCACAGTACTTTGTACAGCATCTTGTAACACGTTAATGATCAAATTTAAATGTTTCACACATAAATTAAAGTACAATCTTAATCTTTTTTTGCACAATGTTGAGGTAAATGAGCAGTTAATCTGTGTCTCATTTGGTTATGCTTGATTGGGCAGAGAACATTAGCTACATGATCAAGAGAATTCAATGCTGCACGAATAATGTTGTGGGATCTGTAAAAGACACCACAAACTGTATGAATTGAGATGTAAGCTATGTCTCAGTGGTTGTACTTTGTGTCAGATGGTTGTTGGTTTGTCTTGGAACTTGAATTCATGACTGAAGCTTTTACTTGCCAATACTGAGGGAGTGCTGCAGAGTGCTACATTGCTCAGATGAGACGTTAAACATCTGGCCCTAAGGATGGATGTAAAAGATTTTATGGCACGACTTGAAGAAAGTTGTAGAATTTGTCTTGGTGTTCTGTTCGGTATTTATCTCTTCAGTATTTATCTCTTCAGCAATAGATTATGTGGAGAGGGGTTTCAGATTTTCACAATTCTTTGTGTAAAACGTGTTTCCTGAATGGCCTGTCTCCAACTTGACCCAAATGCTCACTTGTTCCGGACTGTGTCTCCATCCACAGAGGAAGTCATCCTCCCTTTGTGCCCCTTCAACTTCCCATTCATTTATGAGATGTGGACTTGTCTGTCTAGGGCAGCATTTATTGCCCATCCCTGGTTATCCTTGAGAAGAAAGTGGTGAGCTGCCACCTTGAACCACTGCAGTTCATTGGTGTAGGTAGACCCACAATGCTGATAGGAAGTTCCAGGATTTTAACCCAGCAACACGAGGAACAGTGATATTTTTCCATATTAGGACAGTGCATGGTGTTGGTGGTGGAGGGAGTGAATCTTTGTGCTTGTGGTACCAATCAAGCTGGTTACATTTTCATGGAAGATATTGAACTTCTCCAGTTGCATTCATCCAGGCATTGTGGAGTATTCCATAAACCCTTAGGCCCCCAACCTCCTGCTACTTTTTTCTGCTTTCTCCTTTTCCTCTGAAGGCATAAACCGGTACTGGATTACAAATGAGTAAGTACTAGGAGCTCCCAATACCTAGACCAACTGATCAAGAGACTTTCCAGGTAACCAGAATAGTTTCTCTGTTTGACCTCAGACTTGCCAGCTGAGTGTATTTATTCAAAATCTATGCATCATTGGACAGTATTCCAGATGCCAAGTCACTGACTTTTCTTCCCGCTTGCTGCTGTCCCAAATGCCTGTGATACTGAGGGAGTGCTGAGGCCCATTGTAGCATTCCAGTTGTGGTTCCAGTAGCACTTCATACAAAGGTCAGGTAATTGACTCTAGGGGTCTACATCGTGGCTACTGTCCTAGCAAACTGGCCCTGGGCTTATCCATAGCATTGCAAAATTACCCCTTGTGGACTTTTTTTTTGAGTATTTGTGGCCTGCGTTTTGGTGCCTTCCGCTGTAAGGCATTGGGGGTGGATGAGTAATCAGTTGCCTTTATTCTTACTAATTGCTATGCCGGCAAGTTTTAAACTTTTTAGCAGCAGACAAGGCACTGTGAATTCAGGAAATCACTCGCAATGTATGCAAGTGTGTGTTGATTTTCCCAAGACTTTGATGAAAGAATTTACAGAGCAGCAGGGTCAGCATAGGTTCCCATCTCCCCAGGGTGATTGTTTGATTTCGGGAGTAGGTACGCATCCCGTTTTACTCAAAGATGAGCTCATGCATCATCAACAAAGCTTGTATTCTTGAATGCAATGTGTTGGCTGCCAAAAAGATTACATCATATGCAGTCTTTGCTACAGAATGTCTAATCCTTTGC